AGTATACAATCTTATTACATTTTAAGTTGGTCATGTATGTTTCCTTCTATCATATATATTAATTGCAAATGACGTATATAATAGGTATAGGTACTATAGCTAAGCCGTGCTTACTTGATTTTGTTCGATTTTAAAACTACCAAAACAAACAAACATTAATAGCCATGGGCGTGTTTTAGGTAGAGAACGGGTGGCCACTCTCCCCTCCCCCCGCAGTCCGTGCCTCCAACAAAATAATGCCAGAATAAATTTTTCTTTATTAGGTATCTGTTTTTAATTTAGTTATAAGTGTATTTTTATTTTTTTGGCAGTGGTTATACTTTTTGATCATAATTAAAAAATATTCCTACCATTGTAAATTGTGTAACATAAAAAATGAATGTTTCTTCATGTCTAAAAAAAAATAGGTCTCACAATTAAAAAATGTGTTGTGCCCTTTTCGGCCACCGAAGTCTGAACATGCCTATGTTAATAGCACACTATTTGATACATTGCATAGGTTGTCCCGGATGTGCTAATCCAATATTATAATAATAATCGTAAATTTATATCGAATATCGATTAAATGAATTAAATAATTCACACTGAACCACGCGTTGTTGTGTCGGCCTAATCAAAGTTCCACAAACGGTCACAACCAAAATCTCCTTACATTATTAATAACAAATATTGTTTTGATAATACATTAATACCTATATGACTCGCAACATTATACAAAATTAAGTTCCTATTATGTATACAGATTGATATTTTCGACGTAATCAATTCGTTTTATATTGCAAAATTGAGTGTTTTCGAACTGTATGTAGTTTTGTAACACAATTGTTTTTAACCACATTAAGACTAAGGAATTTTTAGATTTTTAGTTGACTTAAAACATTTACTAGCTGCAAACTCTTGTCTTTAATTACAAATCTGATTACTTGATGATAACCACTTTCTTCTCACGTGTAATATCATAAATTTATTTTTAACACTTCGTCGACAAATAGATTTTTACTTTCATCTGGCCTAATGCCTATAGCGGCTTGAGGACCACAGACTTCGGGATTTCCTCGGTAATGGGTATACGGCAATTTTTTTGCAACGACTAACTCACGAAAATCGTCGGAAGGCGTCCTTACTTTAATCTTACCGAGTCGTTGGCGTTGTGAGAGGGGACGCAAGATCATCGGGTTGAGAGACATAAATATAAATATCACATAAGTCGTATACATTAATAAATCGCAAAATTAATATAATGTAATATAATAATAGATACAATATAAAATAATTCTCGCTGCGAAAAGTTAACAACGTCAGGCGAAAGGAAGTGGTGATAGGCGCTTTATCAGTTTATCACCACAGTACTATTGAACGACGACTTCAAGTCGTTCGCTTGAGTTCATTTGGTATATTTTCAACCGTTGTCTCGTAAGTCTGCTCCAGTGGGTCTAACTACTCTAACTACAACTCAGATAAAATGATTAAGGGCTTGCTGTCAATCGCACTGCCTATTATACTCGGGTTTCGGCAGACGATGGTCTATATAACGGGAACTTTAACGTCCGGTTTGTGCTTAATCTTACGTGAGGCTGCTTGTTGGTCTTACTATTGGTATAATAGGCACGAGAAACAGAATGTGTGGCTGTGCGATTGCCCTAACCTAATAATTTGATTTTAATCGGTTTTAAAAATACGTAATAGAAAATTACTTAAGTAAATAATAATAATAATTTAAGTAAATAATAATTATTCTATAATTTTATTATTTTGTTAAAGAACCATAGTGATGCATCCATTACAGTGACCCACCACACGAGTACACAACACTTAATGTACAGCAGAATCTCCACTCCACTTGCCCTCCTTTTTTGGTTTAGCAGAATTTTTTTAAGTTTTTATGTCATGTATACTGTTTAAAGTGTTGTTTTAAATTTTGTATAAAAAGTTTTATTTTTTGTATTGAGATGATTCCCACAATAAAATATATAAATAAGTACAATCTAAACTCGTAGGTAAGGGAACTAACATTTTTAAATATTGTAATAAATCAATTAAATATACTTGATAAATACCTAGTATACCTTATCTATAAACCCAGAAATATTGCAAGGGACATAAATAGTGTTAATAATTATTTAAAAGAAGAATTACCTCTCATTGAAATCATATTGTTAAGAGTATTTTCAAATGTCCTTTCATCAAAGTCCCAACTAAAATTGTAATCATGAATATTATTGTTTACATTCGTTTGAAATTTTACATCTACCGGTAATACAGGATCTCTTTAATGCAGTACAAAAAATGGGAAGTGCTTTGTCGAATTATGTAGTGCTATTCTAGAAAATATCTTTATAAAAAAAATGAACATAAATATAATATAAAGCTGTTCAAATAAAGATGTGAATGTTCTTTGCTAACTAACTTACTTTCAAAAGGCTATTTTTATTGCACGGCTTAATCTTTCGACTAAACCATTAGCCTGTGGGTGGTACAATAAAGTAACACGAGTGCCAGTTAGATGGAATAGCTCTTTTGACAAATTATCGCAGAGTCCCCTTCCTTGATTTCTGATCTCTACTTCAGACAGCCATGGAGACAAATAATAATGCCATTCACAAATCGTGCCACTGTTTTTGTAGTCTTCTACTCTTGTCTGGCAATGCACGGTTCTCGTACCATTTTCTAAAATAATTAATTGAAACAGCTACGTAGAGTAAGCTGTTGACTTCAGGCAGGGGATAAGATTAATATTTAATATCAAGTTGCTTGAATACCCGAAATTAATTATAATTAAATAATATTGTCAATAGGTAGTTAATAAAGATTCAAGTTATAAATATAGAATAAAAAATAGAATAAACAATAATATACAAAGGTTCTGTTTGTACCATTGATGAATAAAACCGGTAGAAGAGTCAATCGAACTCAAGGGGAGGGGGTTTCCGAAATTATAAAAAAAATCAACCGATTTTAATATCTCTGCCACCATAGACCTTATACAGTTATAGTACTACTAGACAAGAACTGGGTATAACAGCATTTCAAGCGACTTAACAATATCTCGTAGTGATGTAACATGTCGTGACGACAAAATACAATAACCTATATTTCAATAACTATTCAACTTTTCTTTCCCTAGTACTCGTTATTACTGAGCCGAGTAATGAGTAATGGAGTAATCAAAAAGTGCCCTCGATGTTTTTACGCTTTCCATATACTCATTGTCATTGCTTGTCTTGTAGTATAAAGGCTATATCTGCCATCAACACCAAATGATTCTATATAGACTATTTAAAGATGTTATAAAAAAATATGTTTGAGTCCAAATTTTTATCTGCCGATTATTTATTATAATATAACATTTTAAATAATCTAGAACCATTTAGTGTTGTTGGCAGACACGCTATGAAGTCAGTTAATTTTTTTTTTTCAGAGACTCCCCCTATCCGGTATACACGTCTACCGATTTTTTAATGTAATTAAGAGGCCCAATTCTAAACACTAAAAAAAATAGTGCTAGGTAAATTGGCCATTGGGTCGAGATAATTTGTGTAGATTTTGAAAGCGGTAAATTGAGTCCCCAAGAAAAAAAGGGTAGTTGGGTCCCGACTTCAAACCTACTTACCTACAAGGCTGTAGCAACCATTTATACCATAAATATAAAATTTGACTTCGAATAAAGATTATGAAACACATAAATTTAAATTTATACAATTTATACCATAATTATAAATTTTGACTTTTAATACAAATTATTTGATATTAAAAAAATGGGATAAACGGCCTAACCTTTTTTTCGGGACTCAGCTACATACTACTACCTTATTTTCCCCGGGACCTCATTAACAGAGAAACAGTGATTTAAGACGAAATTTACCAAACACGAAAAAAATCAAGTGAGCTAATATAGATGAGGTCAAACCGTCATCGTCATCAGCTCCCCGTCTATGCATTGTATGACAATTTATAGTCAATAAGACTATGGTATGGAGACCGAAGGCCACCCCGGATATGTTTACACTGTATCGTGGGGAACTAGAGGCTATAACGCTCTCCTTCTATCACAACATTTGACGCTAATTGCGCCAAAATGTACCTGTAAGATACGGATACTTACTTAATAGTTAATACTCAATAGGACCTAATTAATATCATAAATACGTATATCCATCTTAAAATGAGGTATAGAGTAGAAACGCATAATATGTGATATGCGCATATGTGCAACCACAGTCACACACCGTGTTCGATGCATATATTATGAGTTATGACAGATACCTACTCGGCTACTCAATACTCTTACTATAGATACCTATAGAAAAATGAAAATAGTTATCATATTGAATATTATTTCCATACTATTGTTTATTTGTATATTATGTACACCTACACATAAACCTATCATACATGTATAATTTAAAAGTGCACAACCAGTTTTTAAATTTTCTACCCGCCGCGAAAAAAAAATGTACCTATTTAAAAAAAAAAACATGTTTCCATTAAGGTATAAATACAAAAAAAATACCTTTGTTTAATAACACTGTAAAAAAATTACCTACTTAATTGTGAAAGAAAGTGCCTAAAAAGGCAAGTCGGAAACAATTTTAAAAAACTAACCTAACCATGCAGTTTGAATCGAATGTTTGTACGGCTTGTATAGCCGTGGTGGAGACATGAGAAAAACATACAATTTCAAAATCGCATACCTTTATTTATAGTACTGATTATTAAATGTATTATAGGTTACCTACCAAAAAGACATTTTCTTTGTATTAACTGCATCGGTTTATTACATTTATTCACGGACGTACACGTATGTACGTCCGTGCATTTATTACATAGATCTTTATTATCTATGATTTATTACTGTCATAGTAGTTTCATGAAGGATAAAAACAGTGGTAGTTGCTTTACAGAACATACTCCGTGGTTGCTTATTCCATGATAACACGTATCAAATATTGAAATACTGCATCGTGATTGTAGTGATTGTAGCAATCGACGACGTCCACAAAAGTAGATATTAGATAACGAACAATTTACAATTTGTATAATGGAATAAAATGATTAAAATTTAAATTAAGATTTGTAGAATATAAAGATTTACAAGACGTGATTTAACGATTCGTGTCAATATACGTTTAAATATTTAACACACTAATAATGGATTTTTCGTTACTAGTAAGTTAACCATTGAACACGAAAAAATTATTGTAACTCAATATTCATGAACCTAACATTTCCTAGGAACCAACTTTGTACACAGTAAAAGGCATGGCTATTTTGGACAATGATGGCAATCGCATACTGGCCAAATACTATGATGACAATATATTTCCAACGATTAAAGAACAAAAAGCATTTGAAAAAAATCTATTCAACCGCACTCACAGAGCAAATGCAGAAATTATCATGCTGGATGGAATTACATGTCTGTACAGGAGCAATGTGGATCTGTTCTTTTACGTCATGGGCAGTTCACATGAGAATGAAGTAATTACACTGTCTAGAGGATATCATGTTAATTGCATATTTTACATGCCATTTTTATTTTTCAGTTGTTATTGATGAGCGTCTTACAATGTATGTACGATTCAATCAGTCAAATTTTAAGGAAAAATGTAGAAAAACGAGTTGTGCTTGACAACTTAGATGTTGTTATGTTGGCGTTGGATGAAATTTGCGATAATGGGTAAAAGTGCATCATATTTTATAACCATAATATGAGTAGTAGAATTTATATTAACTCCATGCTATGGTCGTGTATAAATAAATGTCCACACACACTACTGCGGTGGCACTAACATTCTATTGCCTTGGCGATGCCACAGCAGTAGTAATAATTTTGCAACTACTTTTGTGGTGACATTAGCACGTTTGAGACTTACACAATTTATTTTCTGCAGTATTATATTGGAAGCCGATTCTGGAGCAGTTGTACAGAGAGTAGCATTACGAACTGATGACATACCAATTGGAGAACAAACAGTTGCACAAGTAAGCTATCTATTATGTAATTAGTATTCCAATCATATTACCTATCATATTATAGTAACATACTTACATAATATATACATTTTTCTTAGGTTTTCCAGTCAGCAAAAGAACAGTTAAAATGGTCATTATTGAAATAATGAATATTTTATTAAAGTCTTTCAGGTATAAGATGTAAGACATACCATTATTTCCATTGTTTATTTAATACTATATATTTATAACTTAAACTTAATACACATAAATTTATAGATGAACTTGAGAAAATTGTAGTTTTTTTTCTAACCAATGAGCAAACTGCAACAATCTTATGTCATCAAAATTTGATGCCATTATTTGTATGCTGATTGGCATCTTATTACTTGATAATTTTACTGGTATAGTAATGGCTGGGCAACCTAGAATGTTAAATTAGTATTGAATATTGTATAACCAATATCAAAATTCTTTAATATAGAAAAACATTCAATTATTCTACACTTACCCGTCATATTTGCTGGTTGGGTACAATAGTCTTGTGTAGCACATTGTGTACGGTTATCTAAAGACTTAAATTCTGATAGAAGTGGAGCGGTAGTCAATGTAGTAGGTGTGACTAAAAAGTCATAGTTAGATTTCCATAAGTTTTTGAAATCATCTGATATCAACCGTCTTACTTTTAATGATTGCATGAAGTACTTTTCATAATTACTAAAAACAAATAATAAGCTACACCACAACCCATAAAACATGTATAATAATGATATAATTATCCTAAATTTATAAGAACTAGAAACTTTCAAATGTTTCTTATCATTCATCAATTATAGACACTAGACATTGCATCTTGACAGTCCGGATACAAGTTACCAATATAAACAAGTAATACAACATTTAGTTAACATAACGTGTATCATTAAATAATCAAATAGGAAGTTATAAAGACAAATACAAACAAATGTATTGGTAATAAAATATTAAGTATTCATTGTTTTAAAATAACTTTTAACTATGAATAAAAATTATGGTAAGATGCGTACAACCATGTAAAACATAAATTAACTGCAAAAATATTTGTTTCCCATCAACATTATTTGGGCACAAGTAACATGTAGACTATTCAAATAATTTCTAACAAATTTACCTTCGTAAAAGGAAAAAATTTCCACTTAAGATTCGAGACCTTACAACTTCTCCTAAAGCTTCCATTCGACTAGCAGAGATTAATGATTCAAATGATTTGTGATCATTTGTTGATCGATAACCATAGAAGAGTCCTGTGTACCGTGACATATTGCTTGCTACTTCACAAGCATTCAATACTGAATATGTGGCTATTGAAACACTAGTATGAGGCATTGATACCTATAGAAGTTAATTAGGATAATTAAGAGGTTTATCTACAAATAAATAATAAATACATTTTAATATTTAACAGTCATACCTTCTTTACTGTGCCTTTAGAATCATCAATAAGATTTGCAATATAATCCCAAGTTTCTTTAACTTCGTTTGACAAATCCTCACAATTATATTCTTCGGGTATGCCAATACGACACTTGTCTATTAAAAAATTTGTTTGAAATGAATTTGTATCCAAATTTGTGTTTACACACGTTGAATCATTTGCATCTGGTCCTATTAGCACACTCAGCACTGAGACCACATCTTCAACAGTCTTAGCTACAAGACTAGGTACATCCATTGAATTTACTAAAGGTATCAAACCATGGCGTGATAATAAGCCATAGCTAGGCTTATAGCCAACGACACCACAGTATGAAGCAGGATTTCTTATAGATCCACCAGTATCTGATCCTAAAGCACTAATTTTTACAAAACATTATATTATAGACTTAACATAATGCTGCAGTTATCTTTTTAATACTCACGCTAAACACATTCCCGAAGCAACTGCTACACAACTGCCACCAGAACTACCACCTGCAATGTGCCATTGATTGGGTTTTGAACGCCATACATTTTTAGTAGGACCAAAAATTGAATCTACGGTGCCAGAACTTGATAGAAAAAATCCAATTTTTATATAATATTGAATTTGTAAAAACTAAACCTACCCCATGGCAAATTCGTCCAAGTTAGTTTTGCCAATAATTATAGCCCCAGCAGCTTTTAAACGTTCTACCACTGTAGCATCATAAACTGGTACAAAGTTTTGTAACATTTTTGACGCGCATGTTGTGGGCACACCTTTAGTACAGAAATTGTCTTTGACTGCAATCGGAATCCCTTCCAGTGGCCTCTGTGTACCTGAACACAAACAGTTGTTAATTGTTACAACCATGGAATGTAATTTCAATAGAACAAGCATACAATCTGTAATTTTTTAGGCTATGCAATAGTATTGTTTAAAAGTACCATCATACTGTAGCATTTTGTACTAGTAGTCAATATTAGGTATATTTTCCTACATGAATCAGCGAACATGACAACCATCCATCAGTCAGTTCATAAATGGTTAGACGCTAGTGTTATTCCTAATTTAAAATTAATTTAAGCAATTGTAATTTTAACATTTTCAGAAAGTATGTGAATATTGTGAATATATAAAAAAAATAAACCTCTGGTGTAAATAATTGAGACTTGAGAGTAAAACGAACAGTTTTGTACACAAACTGATTTTTTTATGTACGTAGGTACTTAGAAGTTTTAAACTTATTGAACCGGTGATTATTATGCCCTACCCTAGCAAATATTGAAATAATGCCTGCACTGACAGATACTTTTTGGTTAATTTAAAAGCTCACGATTATTATAGAATACCTACAGCTAAAATATAACAACATTACCCCTATGGTTAACAACGTTAAACGGTATGGTGTTTAATAATATTTATTTAATATGGGTGAATACGTACCATTTTGCAACCGTCTATGGCTTTCCGCTGCTCGCTGGTCTGCATCTCGTATGACTTGAACGAACGCATTGAGATCAGACTTCTTTTCAATATCACTCAACGTCTTGGCATAGAGATCTACAGCCGACAGAGTTCGATCCTTCAGCTGCTTCTTCAGCAACGATATCATAGCATCCAAATATTAAATAGCTGTGGGGTATTATGTGTAGTAGTACACCACGACGACCAGTTACTCGGGCGACCTATAAGAAAATTACTTTTTATAGGCTCTGTTTATATAATTATATTTACAGGTTGCAAATAACAGATGAACGTGAGTACCGTGAAGTGCTGAAGCAAAGCTAAGTAGTTAGTAGTAACTAGTAAGTAAGCACTCAGCGACTCTGGGTAGTGTCGTACTAGGTAATACTGGTAATAGGCAGTCGCCAAGCACACGCCGGCACGTTTTTACGAAATTATCAATGGACAATATTATTATGAAGTTTTCGCGGGGATATCATAAAATGTGCCTATGGTGGTCGGGACCTCTATCACAATTCACAGTATCACTAGACAATTCGTTATCAGTGTCGTGGTATTTTCTATTTAGGTATGATTGTAGTGTTATGGCGTTATGCTGCAATGGTAATAATTCCTAACAAAATTGAAAATGTGATTTTAACAAAAATAATAATCTAAAGTCAATGTTAAACAATGCAATTTAACTGTAGCCACTTCAAACAGTACAAACTAATCAATTTTAATTTTGTAACACATCCAATTAGGAAAAAAACCTTGGTTATTATTAAATTAAATATTATTATATTTTAATATAGTTCTTAAGGAAAATTGTAAGAAACCCCCATGAAAACAACATAGGTTTAATATAATGATATAATACATTATGTAGGTACTGACTGAGGCGGGCCAGTCAAACATTTATTTTGATGGAGGGCATGAAATCAAAATAAACGACATCTTAAAACCGTTATTTAAATAACTTTTTTTTTTAAAGCGCATTAAAATAACTAAAACGTATTTCATTCCTCAAACTTCAAGGAACTCCATTCTTCTTAGGTACCTAAATAATAACTAGAATGTCTTAAAACGATATATGAAAAACATTGTTTCCCTGCCTCCCAGGTAAATTTGTACCATGAATGAAGATATAAGTATATAAGATTGATTTCAGATTTGTACATATCCATTCGCTGCTGAACTACCTTCAATTTAAGTGAATAGGTACAAAATAAGAAAAAAATATTTAAAAAATGAATGGTATACTTCATAGTATTTAGGTACTATTTATAGTTTTTATTTAATGGTTAATATTGTTTATTGCAAATTACTTCTGTATGTTTCAGCTACACTATTTTTTAAATAAGTGAAGGTACCTTTGAATATAATTGAATTGATCTAAAAATAATTATAAACAAGTGAAATATTATTTTTACTCGCATATTTAAATAGATTCCATAATAATAGGTACCTAGTTAATATTTACAAAATTTCTATTAAAATATAATACATCCATATTCCATGTATAACCTCTGGTCAGTAACAAAAAATTGCTATTCAAGTAAACATATAAATACATTGTTAGATTACCTTAGGATATTTGCACATCTCACATTAGGTTATTCACATTAAATAATAAACAATATTACCTACTATTCTCTTTCCAGAATTGTTTGTAACAAGACTTATAAAAGTAAGCAATTTCTACCTATACATAGAACCACTCCCACAACACATATTATCCAACTTCCTCAATTCCATGCTATATCTAATAGTGAATTTCCTCAGTTTTCATCACACTGTCTATCAATCCAGTACAAAGTCTTTAGAAAATATTTCTTTCCTCTCATCAATGTAACTATAATAATAAATAAATAATAAAATATTGTAAATAATACCTATTTAATGATTTTTCTATCCTAGGAGTGAAACCTGTATTAAATTTTGAATTTCGAGGTTTAAATATTTAAATTATAATTAAAAATCAACCATAATATTATTATATACATGATGATCTATTTAAAATGGTACACATTAATATCATAAAAAGTATTTTATTTTTTTTTGATTTTTTTTTTTAAACTGTATAATATTTTAATTTTTTCCATCATTATATTTATTGGTGAAACCACTATCAATTTTTGATTTTCAATTGGGAACATATAATAAAAAGGTCATAAATTGATAAAACTATTTTTTATGCATTTTCGCATTAAAATGTTTCGTTATTTGGTTTGCGAGATACAGTTCCTCAAAGTTTGGTGATCTAAGGTGTTATAGTCGGTAGTACAAGTACTACAAATATCCAGTTATTCAAATAACCAGTTTTTTACTAATCATTCTTCATATCTAATTAAAGGATAGACAAATAAATTATTAGAGTTCAAATACAATAGTTAACACCAGGGTATCTCATTAATTGTTACCTTGGATTGAATGGTATCAAATTCATCAATTATAGCTCCTGGTCTTTACAAATGAATAGTTTAATCAGCACCTCCTTAAACCACCAAACTTTGAGGAGCTGTATCTCGCGAATGAAATAATGAAAAATAAAAATTATAATGCTAATATTCATAAATAAAATAGTTTAATTAATTTATGACTTTTTTATCATATGTTCCCATTTGAAAATCAAAAGTTGAAAGTGGTTTCACCAAAAAATATATCGGTGAAAAAAATTTAAATAGTTTTAGAAAATCATAAATCTAAATCTAAGTTCAAAAAAAGAAATTTTAAAAAAGTTTATATTTTTTGAGATAATTAGTGAAAATGAATGAATCACTCTTTATAGTATGAATAATGGTACAAATTGTTTTTATTTTTTATATATTTGGCACTTTTGACATAGATTGGGTACAGTTTTATATTACTGCTTTATATCTATTCTATTGATTAAGGCTCAAATGATATTAAGTAATTTATATAACTCTGGTTCTTATGGCATGCAGGCCTTTATACTAATGTGTAGGACAATTTGTATGAAAAACACACTATTAGCAATAATGATGTCCATACCTAATACAATTCATCACTCCTACTAAGACCACATCAATTTTTGTTTGTAATTATTAATTAATAATGTTATCATATTATTTAATCTATATATTATATATACACAATGCAAGGTATAATTTATATCATAAAAAAGTCAAATGGAATAAATTCATACAAATAAATAAAAATAAATACTAGTAATCTCACTTAAATGCAAGTTAACAGCGATACTAAAATCATAGCAGACTATTATTAATAATTTTTTTTTTTATTTATAAAAAATATTTACAATCTGTGTTAAAACGGGACAATACGCAAATAAGATAATTTATGAACAATTACTGTGAATGTTATGAGGAGAGAGGCGAACCAGTGATGGAACATAACGTGATACATAATTTTCGGTTAGTAAATCTCTGCAATATTTTTTGAATTTATGGAATTTACGGGCTGATTATTGGATGATCCTTGCAATACTAATGGGTTAATTAAAACAAAAACAAAAATTTTACACATCACTTAACTAAGTAATGTCATGGCACATAGATCTAGGCATCTGCATATGATACCATGCTATTATGCTTTTAATAGTAATAATTTCTTTTTAACAGAAAAAAATATGCATATTAAAATTTTTCATTTGTATACAAATAATACAGATCAACATTATTTAAAATATGTAATTAATGATAGTTTGATATCCATAATAAAATTTTGGGAGCCCTACTATTCAGAAACGACAGGGCTCTAGTACAATGTTGCACATATAATTTATCTAGCACTGAATAAAACTCCTATAAATGTACTTAAGTATTACTTTAAATAGTACATTTGGCTTTCTTAATTCTTTACAAATTTTTACTAAGTATTAAACAAAAATTAAGATATATCTCATACATCTTAATTAGTGGTGTCAAGTCACCAACCATGTCATTTTGGTTATGATAGGTAAGTAACTTGGAAGTTGGAACTCAAACAAATCATTTAATATTTGGTTTAATTGGTTAACACTTATGAGCATGTAGTAATGTCAATTGTTGAGAAGCCTTTTTCATACAATTACCTAACCTTTAGCATACTTTTTTCAATGTTCATATATTATAATAAAACCAACAATCTCATAAAAAAACACATTGTATTCTATTAATTTAAGACTGCTCTGGAGCATGTCATATTATTCATAAGAACCGATGACCAAAGTTAATGCAAATAAAAACAAAATATTATTTAAACATCCTCGACATTTATTACAAAGGCACATATAACTATAGTAAAACTCCTACAATGTAAATATTGCAACACAAAAATATGCCACTTATAATATCGTGTCCTGTAATTAATACTTTTGCATCAAAATTCACAATAATTAATAACAATAAAACGTTACATTTTCATAGAAAAAAAAAAACAATACATTCATTTCAATTAGAAAAGACCGGCCATGACTAGAGAGATGGGTAAATAGAGACAGCATTATAACGCATTAGTTTGGGTTTTTTTGGGAATTTCGTATACAGTCAATAACAGTTAAGAAATTGAATAAATAAAAATTAAGGTTTAAAACAAACCACAATGTGTCTTACATAAGATCATAAAGTTGGACACAATATTTTTTTCCATGTGAAAACTTAAACGAAACGAAGCATACTATATTTAATTTTTAATAATACCTACGTAAAATAACCAGTGATACAGTTACGTAATTTGTTATTTAAAACTTAACTAAAATAATCAAATAAACACAATAATTATAAATTAACTGTTGAATGTTAGAACTTATTTACTATTAATTTGTTAAGGAAGTGTACCGTATCTCCCATGAAACAATAAAAAAAAAAATAACAAAGTAATAGCACAGATTATATAAAGTTGTATCTAATCCGTGGTAATAGTACGGCACAATCCTCAAACAAAATAGAAAACTACTTAATTGTTTGTTGAATATCGGGTGCTAAAAATTATAGTGAAATTAATGTGCAATCATAATCATAATAATGATAATACAAATAATAATGTTAAAAAAATGTTAGGTAAAATAATAAATTAAAAAGTGTAAAGAGGAAAAGCAATGAAGAGAAACATAGTTTAAACAACAAATAACACTTATAAATAATCATAAATAGTATTAAACTAGAAGAAAATATAATATACAAGAAATTCATATTTATAGTTTTTTTTTCTTATTAATTTATAAGTTTTATTTGTTCCTAATTTTTATATAATTAGATTTCAGATTATTGGAAATTAATTTGATTCCCCTATACCATTTTAGAAGTACAATTTAGACTATAATATTTATTTAACTTGGATTTTCAACAATTGTTATAACTGTATTCACTTTAAATTAAGCTTGGAATAAATAATTTTATTTTGCTATCAGCATGAATATAATAGTATGTATATAAACAAAATTTATGATAAACTAGAGATCATTTGGGTTTGATAAAATTGGTTCTGTAAACTCACTAATAGAGGAAATCAATAACACATATGTTGAGTTAATACACAATAATAAAATTAAAACTTAAAAAATATGACATACACAATATTAAATTATCTTGTAACCCATTATTATAAAATCAAGTGGTTCATTACAATATTAATTATTATTAGGTAATCTATAAATACTGTTATATTTCAAATTGACTCTTAGAATATATTAGGGAAGAATTGTTTGTACTTATTTTTAAGCACATAAGTCCGATCCCGATCGCTCATTTAAATATAAAATAAACATTCACATTATTATAGTCAAAATATTGTAATCAAGATCTGATTGAAAGACATTAAAACTATTACAGAAAAAACTAGAAATGTAAATCTGTTTAGCTATGCAGCTCACAAAAATCAATTTGAAGAATTTTCTATATTTACTATACAGGGTGATGTATAGGCTTGAATAAATCACTGAAATAGATTATGTTTGTCCAAATGGAAGACCTATAAATTCTGTCAAGAACATTTAAAGACAAAAAATATTAAATTTCAGAAGTATAAAAATGTTTACATGACAAAACATTTGCAATGAACTTCATGTCGGAACATTGAATGAGCAAAATACAAAATATTTGAAAGTCACTTAAATTACAAAATTATAAATTATCTCATATTATGAGATGATAACATAGCTTAAAAAACCATCCAAACAAATAACTTCTCATTGTTTCAAAATGTATATATTATTCAGTGCTTGAAACACAGCTTCACCAATCACCCTGTATGTATATATATACATATATATATATATATATATAAATAGTTTTAAAAATATATTTATATTTTACTAATAACTGTTATAACTATCTATTAACTAGCCATAAAGAAAAATATTGCTCCTACCTATTATATCTAACACCATAGGATTATTAATTAAATAAAATCTCAACATAAATTTCTTTAAATTCTAGTTTCAACACTAGACTTAAAAAATCCTTTTTCTGTTTTACATTCCCTTATTGTAACAGTATTTAAATTAACTGTCACATCAGTAATAAAAACATTATCTACAACTGGATTGCGCGCAAGCCAATACTCTGGTCCAGGGTTTGCCAGTATTGTCTTGTACTGTAAACGCTGAGTAGGAGTTTCGGCAACAGAAGCTGTATCTAGTACCTGATGTTGACCTCCAGCCCCTTGAGTTACAGCCGTTGCAGCATCCTCCTGTGGCCTAGCTGGTTCACCAGATGTTCGAGAACTGATGGGTGCTGCTGCAGCTAAAGTGTCTCTTGACTTTACACTTGTTGGAGTACTTTGAAGTATAGCCGTCAGTGTTATATGTTGATTTTCTGGAGCTGGAGAAATTTGATTTGTCAAAACTGCGGGGACTGCATGTTCTGATGTTTTTCTTTTAGGAGTTCTTCCGCCATCTTGAGTAGGTACTACTGGAGGCAAACTATTGGTGTTTTGAATATTGGGGGGAGATTGTAATTTGGGCACTTTAGAATCTGTCACAGGAGGACTAGTAGTTATAGTAACACCAACTTTACCAGATTCTTTAGACAAAACCTCTGCTTTGCGTTTAACTTTATGAGGTTTAGGTAAAGGTGGAGGTGATTTGGAAGACTGCTTTGGTGTAGATGGAACTAGAAGTGAAGGTGCAGGTTTCACCACTGGAGTTAACTTTTCTTCTTCTCGTGTATCATTGACTTCTATGACTGGTGACTTTTTTTCTTCACTTACTTTTTCATCTTTCACTTCAACCTTTACCGCTGCGTTTAACTTTGGCATTTCTTCCAATGAGTCATCATCAACTGTAATAAAAAAAACTTAGAAAATCTGTTTTTGGACAAACACACAATAATTTACAACTTTTGACATATTATTATCTTATTTTATTAAGTTTTAGTATTTTATTTGAGTATATCTAAAACATTTTTTTATAATTTGCACTACAGTTAACAAAAGATAAATTTAAATTTGAGAAAAAGTATTTTAAGTTTTATATCTTTTAATAACATAATTTATTTATCGTGAACTAAACTCTAAATGAAAGTATTATCTAAAAATTCTATAAATATGTATATTGTAAAAGCATGATAAGAAAATTTAAAAATTACTTGTTTTATCTTCTTCGGTGTCATCGTCATGTCTGGGTAACAAAGGTGCTCCATTAGTAGACTCTGGAAGTACTTCAGCTTCATCCTGGCTGTTATAATCAGGTACATCACCATCGGCAGTTTCATCTTCATAGTCACTTCGGGTAGGTTCTGTAGTTGGTGTTTCAATGTGTGCCTAGAATTTGCCAAGTATACAAAGTAAATAACTATACATTATAACAAATATCCTGATATTTGTTTTCAACTACTTACATTTTGTGTTTTTCTTTTAGGGCCTCGTTTATGAGAACTATTATCTGTACGGATTTGGCTAAAACAAATACACATAATATGATATATAGGTAATAGGTAGATGAAGAGTTTAATGCATTTAAAAGTATCTTAAGTATTTGTATACAATTAACCTATACATAAATTATAAAAAAAAAGGAAATACCTTTGCTCAAAAATATCAATAAGCCTGGTGTCAATAATATTTTCTTCGGGTTCCCAAGTATTGTGCCTAAACATATTTAAAATTAATTTTAATATCAAAATCCAATCATTTTATATTTATGAAACATACTTAGGTCCCCATCCTTTCCATTTAACATGATATTCAACTCTGCCCTAAAAAAATAAACAATTATTAAAACACATGACATAAATAATAATAACATTGACACAGTTTCAATTAGGTAAATAATTATACATTTAATTTGTATTAAACTCAAATATCCAAGTAATAAAAGTTTTACAATTATAAGTACCTATTAAAGTAATGTTTATAAAATAGTGCTAACTTCTCCAGGGGAAATAATGTCAAGGTTAAAATAATAATAATAATAATATAATACCTACATGTACATTATAATTTGTTTTATTTTTAGGGAATATAAAAATGTGTGGTACCTAACTGGAGTACATGAATTATTTTGTCAATACATTAAAAAATATTTTTCTTATTCAGATTTTATACTATAATATAACTATTTTATAACATTATTGTATATAGATCAGTGTTTATCTACCTTTTTCATTCGAGTACCCCTTAACCTCTCACCACTACTCTACAGACCCCCGAATGTTAACTTCACATAAAATCTAGTGTAGGTACACGTTCGCCTAATATAATGATATATTACACTCTTATTATATCTAGTATACACTATACACGTATAATATACAATATATATTATGAAACCAATTTACAATATTTCACAAATACCAATCCATTTCAATTGAATGACAACAAATTTCATTTTTTTCTCTCGTGAACCCCCAATTACCTTTCTACAGCGTCCTAGAGATTTGCATACCCCCAGTTGAGAAACAATGGTATATATTATAAATATAAATAAAATTCTCGTAACACTATAGGTAATTGAGATAAAAAATTCACAAAAAAACACATGCTATCTCATAAAAAAAATGGATAGTTTTTAAACTAAGTATTAACTGCACATTAAGCTCGTAATAAAAATCATGGTGTATATACTTTTTCAAAAGAGAATGATCAGTTAGCCAACCAACTTTTGTCAGTGCTGAGCATCTCCTACCAACTTTACGGTGTTAGTGCGGTTCTCAAAGCGTCAATCGCATCATCCACGATGCACATAGAATTATTGTTCTCATTTGAGACAGAGTATAGACTATAGGTAATAAGTCGATATGGTATATTATAAAGATTTATAACAGATAAATTTAAAGATGACGAATATTAAAATTCATAAAAAGTCGATAGGTTCCAGCCAAAATTTTCCCTCCATTTATCTGAAATGGAATATTTCTAGCATTCCCTTAATTATGGGGGGGGGGGGTCATAGAAATGTTGATATCAACATTCTATCAGTAGTCACACAATTAACTGAATCATTTTGGGTTCTTTCAGAATCAACAATATTATAAGTGACTGTATTTACAAGCATTACAGTAGCTTGGAAAGATTCAGAGATAATGTCTCTCAATATGCTCAACCTACCTGGTTGCACCACTGAGATTATCTAACTCAGAACCAAACTATTATAACTGATTGAAAATTAACAAATTATTTGGTTCAAATATGTATAGCAAATTCAGACTGCTTGATGTTGGGTCATAATTTGAAGATAAATAGTTAAAATAGGTGGGTAGTGGCCTAAATGATCTTTAAGATATTCAGAATTATGATTGTAAATATTCTAACAAAGATTAAATTCAAAATTGGACAAATATCCACTACCCAAGTTATCAGGATTTACTTTCTAAAATACAGAAGATTAGCTAGATATAATATGCCTGCTTCACGAGCTGCTTCATCTTTCCGAAATATAGGTACGTAATGTCAAGTTGAAAGAAGTGATTGTTTGAATATTAAACACAAGTCACAACTTCTACAAGAAAAACATTACAAAGGTACCAATAAAGTCCATGGTTATGAAAACCCGCGGCAATTTTAGAATTCGACCCAGTTACAATAGAAACCTAGACAGGTTGTCGACAGCCAAAAGCTGTGCCATTTACAAATTAAGAGGTATACCTAGAACGGGTTAACAACGGTACTGACACGACCCGATGACACTAAATGGGGTTACCGAAAGTTGATTGGATACGGGTGATGGGAGAATCGTGGCCTAAACCTGCCTAAATACAGAAGTTCGAAAAGAAGCGAACCGGGGGGGAAAAAAAGGCGCGCAAGCCGTTATCAAAAGTTGATGGTACCCAGGTGGCCCGCGAGGACGAGACGTGTCTCCAGCGTAGGAGGACGAGGTAGGTAACTAGGTAAGACTCACCTTTCGGACACGCTTCTTCATGAGCTTTTCGGCCGCGTACACCCGGTCCCCCATTGGTGAAGATTATTGTGCACACTACGTAACCGGGAAACGGCGAAAATTACGTAAGTCGACGGACTCGCGCGACGACGGCGACGGCGGACGCGGCGAACGGTGAACGGCGGTGGTGACGGCGACGTTGACGGACGTCCTCCTCCTGGTGACGGTCGGCAACGGTCAGCGGCGGCGGCAAAGTTAAGTTCAGTAATAATCATAAAAAAAAAATAACGAAATTTCAAAATAAAAAAATAATTCTACATGTGTACACCTAAAAGATAAAATAAATAACAATTAAACGATGTTCACGGACGGCGAAATACCGTACACGGCGGACGGTCCATAGCAATTATTCGGTTTCGACACGAAAAATAATAATAAGTAATAACATGTAAACACAACAAATATTTACGTCGCACGCACACGCACGCGAATCACAACGTAAAATGTGGTGTGACCAACCGTATCCGGTGTGTGCCGCGGCCACCACGTTTCGAAACCGGAAAAGAAAATAAAAAATATGTTTTTTAACACGCACGGCAACGATAGCAGTGTTATTATTGTATTATAATATACCCTACGATTGGTTTATACTCTGCGCGGGAGACGGTTCACGCGATATTAAAAAGTATTATATCTCGATGCCCCGTCTCTGAAACGTTCGTTTCTCGGTTTCTCTAGCACGCCGCCGACGACGATCGAACGGATTATTGTTCTGGGTTACGACTAACGTCGTCGACGACCGTTTTGGGCGGTGCTGTCTCTAATCTGTTTTGTATGTCGCCGCTTACCTATCCGCGGCTGGCCGGTTATGTGGCGGGTGGACGGGTGGACGGACGGTGCCAAGGAGATCGCGACGGATATTCGCGCGAATCCGACACAAACTGGTTTTCGCAACACGCCCGGCAGTACACTTTTATAATATTATAATATTATTGCTGCTGCAGTGCTGCGACCCGCCATCGGCGTAACTAAGGGGGGGATTAGCCCCCTCTTGAAATTTAAACCAAGTCTTTGCAAAAAATACTTTTGTCATGTCATGATGGGTTCAATGAGTATAATAAATAATGGTCAATAACTATGCAATACTACATACATAAATTATATTAATAATAAACTATATTGGTAAATATAATATAATATTATATTTATTAATATTTTGAATATAAATGGTTATAATATTTCAATTTTTCATATGTACAATAAAACGCACGACAATATTTTATATACCTATTCTTTTTCTTGTAAATCGTATGAGGAAAAATAAAATTAACATAACACATAAGGTCGACCAGAGGTGGCTCTAGCGACATGGTTGGAGGGGGGGGGCTAAGTCATAATTTTCTGAAAACTTTCGATATTATTATGGTTCTTTTTTGAAATTTTGTCTTCAAAAGTATACAATTTTAGATATACGGGCTTGGGGGGGGGGGCCTGGAGCCGCCCTGAGGTCAACCATATCACAAAATACATTTTAGATTTCTAGAGTGGTTCTTCTAGTGATCTAGAGCTATCGTATTCGTATAGCTGTATATACTATGAACATGAAATTATCGAAAAAGATTATAGGGTATACTATTATTCAAAAGATCCAATGTGTTTACTGTAGAAATAAAAAATAGTTTTACTGTTCAAATTTTATTTTGAGAACTACTTTTAATGACGAATTTGCTGAGATCATGACTTATTTTGAACTTTGATCTTCTTGAACTCAGAGCACTAGAGCAGCGCCGCTTTAACAATATATCCTATAAATGAGCCCATGCCGATCACGTTCCGACGTCATACCTTTCCTCATTCCTCAATGGGGCCAAGCCATGCTTCCCCCCCCCCCTGGCATCGACTGTTTCTTGCCAAATATGACAATGTAGAATAGAAAATATTTACCTCTAATATAAAAAAAATCTCGTTGAGGAATGAAAGTTTTAGATTTTACTTGTACACAAAAATATTATTAGTACCTCAAAAAGATAGTTAAGAATATCAGTGCCGGGTTTTTCCTATTTTTCACAATTCTATCAAATTTGAAAATTATATTTTATATTTTAGATACTTCCTCATCATAATACTTTTCCTCTATTCTACTGCCATATTTCTATTTAGAGGGGTTAATACGGTGGATTATATCAACGAAAATGACTTCACAGAAAAAATTCTCATGCCCTGTAGAATAATCGGATTTCGTTCATTTGTTTTTTTTTTATTTAAAACCAGAGAACTTTTTTCAGGTCGAATCAAACAACAAATTTTCATTATACCTTAAATAGTGCTAAAAAAAATACCCTTGAAAAGAACAAGTATCGTGTATTATTAAAATTCATATTTTAGCTTCTGTAGTTATAATTTAAATAATCGGGCTTTAATTCGACCTGAAAAAAATTACGATATTTGACTGATCTACAAGGCGTGAGAGTTTTTCCTGTAGGACATATTGGTAGTGATGTCATACGCGATTTACCTAAATAGGCGATCTACCGAGCAGTTCCAAGATAATTTACAAATTTAAGATTAATTTTAAAATTATTAAATCATAGCCTAAATTGTATTGATCCAGGTACAGGAGCACATACTTAGTCAATGGAGGGTCTTTGGCGTATTTTGAAGAAAAGATACGGTATAAAAGTAAACGGAGCTTCACCTTTACTCGAAAAGCAGTTGAAGGAAGAGTGGTGGCGATCACTTCATCTATCCATAGATACAATAGTTGACGATTTTCTTTCAGACACGAAAACAACATTTTTAGCTTAAGGTATTTTATAAAAATAATACTTAAAAGCAGTACATTTAGGTGGATAAACAGCTCTTTAAACAGAAAAGAAGAATCGGTACTCAACAGATTGAGAATAGGACACACGCGACTTACACACGGGCACCTAATGGCTAAGGAAGAACCACCATTATGCGAAGTATGTGGTGTCCAGATATCAGTGAAACACATAATAACAGAATGCCTAAAATACCAGCAAGAACGTCAAAACACCGGATTGGACACGACCCTCGACATCGCATTGGGACCCAATGCTGTGGAGAACAATAAGATGATCCTTTTTTTGAAGTCAACAGGTCTTTATAATTTAATTTAATGATTCACATTTGTTTTATTTCTTTCTTATATAAATACTTAGAAACCATACTGTTATAACTTATCTTTAATATTGTAATCCCCTACAAAAAAAAAAAAAAATGATGTAAAAATCTTAAACCATGTAAACATACCATAACTGTAACTAATGGCCATGCAGTTGCCGAGTTTTTGTATTTGATCAATAAAAAAAAAAAAAAAAATAATAATACTTGTATAATCTTTGTATATTATTATTTCGTTGTGATAAAAATTTTAAGATAAAAATAATACGGAAATTAAATACTATTTTTGGTAGATCGCGCACTACTTGAAAACAAGTTTGGTAGATCGCGTACGACATGAGTACCGACATATTTTTATACTAAAAAACGCATCGGTTCAGACGTCCTTAAGTCTTTTATAATGAATGACTGCAAATAAAAAGTTGTTAAAATTGTTATGCAATAAGAATAAAAATTAAAAGTTATCCATTTTCGGTTTTATTTTTTTTTAATTGGCCCTCCCCTGATAGAGATTCTCGCTGCCTAACAGTATACGTATGCTTCATAATTTATATTTAATATAATATTAGTGCAGTAAGCACAATAGCCTGGCTATTGCACCGCCGAGACTGCTGCTGGTAGCTGCACTCGGCCGTACATATACGCGCTCGCGTCGTCGTCGTTGCAGCTATAGCCTCGTGGTGTACAACAAGTCTGTAACGAGGGCAGCTGCAGATGTGTCTTAGTTTTTCGGCGCTCGTACAAATATACAATACAATAATACAATGCACGTACGCACGCATAATAATAATATTATAAACCTTCTTCAGTTCTTCCCTCCGGTTAGTTCAGACGGCGCTGGCGGTGAAGGGTCGTCATTCAGTAGGGGTTGAAAAGGACAGATGAAACGCTCGGAGCGCGCGCGTGTATGAGTTATCATCGTCCTTCTTGTAGTTTAATAATTTAGGTACCGCCACCGCCGTCGTCATCGTCGTCGTCGTTAGCAATCCGTCTCGAAGGGCACGTTCTAAGCACTGCAGCTGTATAGGAGGTACCTACATATAAATATATAATATTATGATATTATATTATATAAAATTATGGGTACAGCGAGTGTACGACAATAATAAGACGTCGTTTTGCCATTGTATTTCGGAGGCTCCCCTCTTACCCATCCAACCATCCCCCGACCGTTTTTGACGTATTAAACTCGCGAACAAAACCGGATTTAATTTTAACGACTGTTTTGCGCGATATCTACGATGATCTATGCCGTTATTCATCAAATTAATATTATGCATATATCATTCAAACGTCATAATATATCGATTTATATATATATAAATATGTATAATATTATTGTTGTAGTGTGGTAATATTAAAATATTGAGAACCGCGGCTTACAAAATATTATAATATAGAATTATTATGGTTCTTTCGACGCCGCGGCCGGTGTGAACATCGTCCGGGCCGAAGGTAGCCGTACCGGCACGGCAGACGAAACGCAAGCTGTTCACGTGCCGGAACATCTGCCGCTCTGCCCGTTGCCGCCCGGTGTGGCGGTGTCTAATCAACTGTTGTCGCGACGGCCGGACGGACACCCAATGAAATTCCACCGCCACCGATGAAACGGTGGTGGCGGCGACGGTCAGCAGGACGTCCGTAACATAATAACACGATACGAGAACATTAACAAAATAGTCTTCTTTGGGACTAAAGATGTGGTGTGTAGGGGGCGATAACAATAATATAATAATATAACGTTGTTTACGGAGTACGCAACAACTCTAAGCAGAGCAACTATTAAATGTATAATATTACATAGGTTAGGCCTAATTGGTATTTTCTATATAAACCATTTTTTACACTGTATACCCAAACCGGCAAGCCCCCAATTCATCTGCCGTACCTAACCGATCTCGCTACTATTTCTTTATTCCATACAAACATATAATATTCCTAAATAATTATTGCACGCGCCGGGACAGCAATACATTATGCAGAAAATGATGAATCTGATTTTTTTTGAGAACTAATTGACCACGGTGCAAATTTTTAAAAAGACCTCCTTATACATTTTACGCCTATGTGTGAAAAATGAAAAACGATAATGAAGTATAATCAATGGGTTTTTATTGATATTACACCAGCCATCATCATCAGCAGGAAATAATAATGGTTGTATTTGATGTTTGATTTTATATAACACTTAAAAACATATAAATATGCATTATAATATTTGTATTATATTTCCTTAAGAGGATGTCAAACGCACTGTTTGTTTTCTCTTCAGCCCACACGCAACATATAGATAAAATTCATTCGCGCAAAATCAATTTTTATGTTTTTGTGTAATCTTAGAGTAAAACGACACAATTTACAAATTAAAGAAAATAATATTTTTGAGGGTAGAGAAATTTATTTGCCTTGATATTGTGTCTTAAAACAATTTAAAGTCCAATTAAATTTACAACTTTTTTTATAAGTCAAATAATAATAATTAATACAATTTAAAACCGATATGCCAAACCCTCAAAAATATTATCTTTTTTAATGATTCTGCCTATAGTGGCCAGTAGGTGATTATTTACTATACAATCACTCAAAAATCATAAAAAGAAAACGTAAATGCATATTTTTATCTATAATGAGTAATGACATCTTCTTAAATAGGTATTATGAAAAACTATCCTAAAAAATATATGCAATTATTTTGGCATGCACGCTATGTATGTTTGTACGTATGTAAAGAAATGTTAATCTTTCCCTGCTATAATGCTTTTATTATATTTTTAAAAATAATTCGAAAATGCGCATAAGTAATATTAGTGTCACCGTAAACAAAATTAAAAACTCATAATATTCGTCTGATTATGAAATACAATATAATAATATAAATCATGATAGAAATAAATAGGTTTTTTCTTTCATGATATAAATAATATTATTATTTATTAATTTTACTAGAACATTGTATATTATAGTAATAAAGAAATTCAACAGGTGCCTAATTTATTAATTTTCATTTTTCAATTATCAAAACTCCCGAATTACCTTTTTACCTTAATAATACCTCTGGGAAATTATTCCGGCGAGCATAACTTATAGAAATAATGATCATACACTAATTTAATAGTGGTAACTCAAAGAAAAAAACAATATTGGGTATTTAGAGTATAAACAACTCAAATCTTAACGAGTTTAAATGAAAATAGGTATTGGTATATTGATGAGTAGGTTCATTTTTTAATAAGTTTAATAATTTTAATTAAGATTGTTAATTTAATTAAATATTATTCGAGGTGTAATAATTTGACTGATTAAAACATATAACAACTATTAGATATTTAGATGTTAGATCTAAATGTATTTAGCTTTGATATGATAAGTGTATCAATGGTGGCTTATATAAAAGGGTCAAAAGGTAACAGAGCATGCGCTACCGTGTCTGGGAAACTCCCAAAATTGATTGTTTCGCCCCAGTTTTATATTTTCTCCTCGAAAATCTTCATAACACAACAAGTGTTTTTGTAGACAACATCGGCTGCAACCTGAAAAATATGTTTCGTCAATTATGTTTTTACCTTCCTTTAAGACGACCAATACACAACAATTATTGCAATTCGACTTTAAAAGCTTGATAATTATCTACAACACAAAAACATTTAATGATGAAAAAGGTAAGTTATAATTATAATACAATACGTCGAATCTATATAAACCGAAGCTTAAATACAATTATTCATAGCCAGATGTTATGCTTATAGATATGTCTAGGCAACATACTTTTATGTACACATAATATCGCTAAATAATTGACTTGTAATTATTTGTATTTACTTTTGGCAATTGGCTGTATATGTATGAATATACTAGGTATAGTATTTGTTTTTACGATGTTTGAAACAATTAAATCAAATCAAATATTATTTTATTTTATTTTTTTAATACTATGCTTAATAATTATTAATTATTAAATTCATCGAATTTTAATAGTTATAACTTATGCATTATAAATGCATGCGCCCCGAGTACAATATTAATATACAATATTATGTAAGTAATCGGAAACATAATTTTTACAAAAATATTTTATGTATACAATAAAATAAGAAAAGGCATTGTCGAGATGAATTTAACAATTTCACATTTCACATTCATATATAGCAAAATTCTAAAATCTAAAGTTTATTTGAAATCCGTACTTTAAACAAATGTTTACACTTTTTAGACACCAGATGTATCATAATAATTATCATAACATGCAGATTGTAGGCATGTCTTACGTGCTAGGGCACAACTAATATTTAATTGCAGTTTATAAATTGTACACGGTACCTTTATTGTATATGTCGTTTATAAACGTTTCATATTACATTATCAAACACTAATACAATATGTACATTTTAGCAAAATTGAGTTGGAAATTATTTAACTCGATCACAATTATGTATATTTTTGAAAGGTATGAATAAAGTACTTAGTATTTATTTAATGGGGATTTAAGATGTATTTAATTTTACATTCGTGGCAGTAAATCGAATAGTATGATATTTTTTTACGAAAATAGGTATAAAATAAGTTTACAAATTACTCTTAATGTAATCAATTACAATATATACATATATTACATTATCATACTATATTGATTGTAGATTTGTAGATTTGTAGAGAGAATATATAAAAAAAATTAATTATCAACAAATTCTAAACTCAAACTTTTTGTGCTTATTATTTAAATAAATATATATAAGACATCATAAGTATATATATATATATACCTCTATGTATTTATGTTTACAGATTTATCTCTATCAATATTTAATTTGATTTATAACTCACTAAAACTACATTAATGTTTAGATAAAAACACCGGTGTTAGCGATGTCATTACATGACAACATAAGTGACGACGTATTCGAGAGCATCGAAGAGGCTGAAGTTAACCAAAACACCAAAAACCTATCTACCACAGACCCGAATTATGATAAAAGGCCTTCGACGACTGGGTACAGGGATTATAAGCCCCCAAGTACCACAAGAAAGCCTTCGGATCCATCCTTAAAAATTGTACACAAGGTGAACAAATATATTTATTTCAAAACTATGGCACTGAGTTCTTAATAATATTTAAATATTATAATTTAATAAATTATAGAAAACAAGAATTATTTATTTATACTTTTTCGTAAAATTATACCTTTATAATAATCTCTGTAGGTATACC